CCCCAAAACCCCAAAACCCCAAAACCCCAAAACCCCAATTAATCAATCAGGAATTGTCGGAGAATTCTATAAAAATTAACAAAACTTAAGTAAAATGGAAGATTCAAGCGAGATTTTACACAGCCAGGATGTCTATACCGGTAGCTCTCCTAGTTGAGAGGACATCTGGGCTCGTGAAGCTAGATTTTTGAAGGAGATTTATTACCCTTTGACTGATACTAATGAGATGGGCCAGCGAGAAATAGGGTCTCAAGAGAAAGAAGCTTTAGAAAGTTTAGCCATACATCTTGGACATCTTGGGGATCAGACCGATCGCTTTAAATCTATCATTGAGGATTCAGAGCCGAAGCCTGAAGATGATATGCCTATTCTTCACTATCAAGACCACTCTGAGTACATAGTGAATGGTTTTGATGCAAATGAAGGAATGTCTACACTAGAAGTTTTTACTGATAAATGGGATAGATACACAAAGGAAAGAAATAGCAAAGAGACTAATAAAGAATGACTCAAAGAAGAATTCTTCTACAGATCCAACCGCATGCCCGAGCTCCTTACTTCTCAGTTCCAGGTTGTTCAGAACTCTAGTGGTGAGAAAAGAGTCAAAGCATACCTTACAGTTTTCATACCTCTTAAGAAGATTGAGTGTGAAATTGAGAACCAAAGATACCAACCGATGAAGGAATCTGAGATCCCTCTAAAAGACAAGGTTGTATACGGCATCCTTAGTCCTCAATGTCCTGGAGAGATCCCTGATGTTAGGTTCTACACCAACCACCTCAGATCCAGCACAGGCTTTGAGTATTGGTGTCAGACAATAGACAAGCCTCTCTATATCAAAGATTTTGGGAAGGTTGAGTATTTTATGAATACGATTATGAGAGATATCTACAAGTATCAGCCAAATGAAATGTTCAAATTCTCGGATGACCCAATCAGCCATGCAGATTCTAGTAGAGAAGAGGCCCTTAAGGGTTTACCACTGTTCAAGAACTATTTCTTTGTTCCTATCAACATGAAATCACCAGTTGAATATGCTGAAGATATCATTGACTGGGAATACATTGACATGATCAAGGAAATCCATGATAAAGGAGTTTATACTAAATCAGAGAGCCTTTATGATGTCTATAAGAGGCTTACTCACCCAGATTCAGGACTTACCATAGAGGAGGCAATCCAGCACTTCCACTCTTATGTAGAGGACAATATATTCATTAAAGGCAACAAGCCCCATTGCTTGTATGTGAATCTAGAGCTAGTAGAAGATCTTAGGACGAAAGATGCAACAGATTTTGCTGAGCAATTGAAAGTTAATGTTGGGAGCAAAACTTTCACTTCAGCATTTGACCTCATAGACTCAGGAAAGGCTAATTCCAGCACTCTCAAACACTTCAAGGAGTACTGCTTGTCTCCAGACGGACTTGGCTACAGTAACTACATGACAGGGCCAGTTGTAGTAGCAGATTTCATCAAGAATCCTAAAACGCTGAAGCTGAGATTTTTATCAGTTGACTTAGCTATCAAAAACAAGAGGAAATTTTACAATGAAGCGAAGCCACCAGGTGTCTCTGGAAGACCCATCCTTTCCTTGTACGATGTGTACCCTTATTTTATGGACAAAGAACAATGGCTTCACTGATGTTTCCTACAAATACTAGGAACTCATTATGAAAGATGTTCATACGTAACTGAGTTAGCAAATGGAGTTGGTCTCGATGTAAACTGCATTGACCTCCATATTGCCACTAACAGCAAGGGAACTAGTTCTGATGTAAATTTAGAGCCACTAGAAACTTATGGAGACACTGTACTAAAATTTGCAGCCACTTGGCTAGCTTATGAAGTCTTCAAAAATGACTCCCAAGCAGGGGAAAATGAAATCTGTGAGAGAAGAAATTGCTTCTTGACAAATAAAGAGTTATTCAGAGTAGGAGTCACCCTCAATCTAAGAAGATACATCAGAACTCTTGATGGAGATATCACTAATTGGATACCTCCGTTTACAAAACTGAGTGGGAAGTTCCATCCTTCCAAGTGCTTCTTTGTAGAGACAAAATACACAGGGAAGAACATTGCTGATTGTGCTGAAGCACTAATAGCTTCGTATATGTTCAATGGAGGAGTCAAGCATGCACTAAAATTTATCGCCAAGATAGGTACTGTTCCTTTAGAAAAATCTGGGCTCTTAGATGCTTTCCCAGACTCACCTTTGTCTTTTAATATTGGTAATCCTCAAGATTTCAAAGTGAAAATTTATGGGAATTTTGAGGAAGTTTTCAGAGAATATTGCCTGAGACATAAGCCGAATGAGTCAATTATTCACAACTTCGAGGAGAGGATCAAAGTGAAGAAATGAGAACCACTCGGGTCAGCTTACAAGCATATGGGAAGTAAGTCCTCTCCCTCATATCATATTTAGGATCATTAATCAACACCCAAGTTGGAAGAGACGAATGGACTAATGTTTTAGTTGAACTAGAAAGCATCCTTGATTACAAATTTAAGAACATTAAGTACCTAAAGGAAGCTTTGATTCATGAAAGCTACTACTCAACTCATTGCAGGGAGAACTATGACTACATGATCAACTATGAGAAGCTAGAAGTCCTTGGAGATGCTGTCCTCGATGTGATTGTAAACAGCTCTCTAGCTGCATTTGCAATGGAGAGAAATGTCTCTCCTTTTGAAATCCATCATTCCAAAGCAAGGCTGGTAAATAACGAGTTGTTGTGCAAAATTACTTGCTTTTATGGCATTCATAGATTCATTCTTTCTGGGTTGTCAAGATGCACCATCCCTGAAGAGCAAATCCAGGACTTATTCACTGAGAACAAGACGACTTCTACTGAAGGAAAATACTGTCAGGAATTTTTCAACTCTATTGGCTCAAGGGAGAGCACATTCTGGGATCACAAGAGTAACCCAAAGAGAAAGCCTAGATCATCCAAGCGTCAGAAGCAAGGTAACTTTGTTATAAATCTTTAGGAATGTTCACAAATCTTGACCCTAAAATAGTAGGGCTGGTGATGGACAAAAATCCTAAATCTCTTTGTTTGCAGCTATATCTCGAGGATTTCGAACCAAATTTTGTATTTTGCTCAGATTTCGAACCATTTGAAACCCTTCAGAAAAAGATTCATAGGAATTACTATGAGGCTCCTAAGATGATTCCTGATGTCTTTGAAGCTATTTTGGGAGCAGTATTTGTTGACGGAGGCTACAACGAAGTTGTAAGAGTCTTACAGCACACTCTAGGCCCATTTGTATGTATGATGGCTAAATACTTTGACGGGATCAGAAAGAATCCTATTGAAGAATTTAATCTATATTGTAGTTCAAAAGGCCTCGTTCCAAGGATAGAGATGTTTAAAATGGGAGCGAAGCAGGAGAGTAACCCTTACCACTCTGATGGAGACCAGATCCTCGGATATCCTCCTGAGGAGCAGCCAGAAGGCAAGCCTCTGGTCTACTACAAATGTGCTATCTTTGTCAAAGGCAAAAAGCAGCTGTGCAAATCCTATGGCAACAGTAAAGAACAAGCTAAGAAGAACGCATGCGCTCTTGGATTCTCTATTCTAAAGGAAGAGTTTGAGAGACCTATACAGGACTTTAAGGTAGGTTTATTATCAATTTTATTCATTGTGAAGTTTTTATTCATTGTTTTATCCCTAGTCTCAGGATACATCACCTGTTCAGAAGTCACCTAATCAGACCAAACCTCAAAGCCCAGATGCCACTAATATCTTAGAAATAAGTGAAAAGAAGGAAGAGAATGAATCAGATGCTGAAATGAGCGAAGAATCGGATGATATATATGCTGGGTGCTGCTAAGGACTTGGTAAATTTTAGTCTACATAAAGTTCAATCTTAGTTTGAGCTCACGGGGTTTTGGGGTTTTGGGGTTTTGGGGTTTTGGGGTTTTGGGGTTTTGGGG